ATTGCACTAGCCTCAGTTTCTAATGAGTAATTAGAATATTAAACGGGATGTATTAATTTATATTGACTAGTGATAACCTTAGTTAATTAATTATAGTTAATCTATAAAGTTATCAACTTTACTTTTGATGTTTGGTATTTATAAATAGAACACTAATTTATGGAAGACCAATATACAAATTAAAATATCAAACATTATGAAAAGTGCCTTGAATAAGACAAATGAAGTAATCAGAACTGTTCCTGTCTCACATATTCATTCCTTGTCCACTAACTGCAACTATCATTTGCCAAATTTAACCTTAAGGTAGTCTTTACAATAATGATCACAATGCTAAAATTCTTTCAATATTTTATTTGATTTGGATGTGTCTTATGCAAATTCGGTTCACAACAAAGTCTTTTAGACCATGACATTGTTGCATGATGATGTAAGGAATTTTTGTTGCGACAATTTGAAACAGAAGACAAGAAACAAACCACAAGTCAGCCAGCAAGTACCTAATTTTTACCGTTCCTTAACTAACAATTCCAATTTTCTAAAACAAAACTTGCTTATAATATTGTAATTAGACAATCCGTTTTACGTAATAAGTTCAGGACAAAAAAAAAAATGTAACGCAAAGAGATGAGAGTGTCTGGATCAACTTCCCTCTGGTCAGGTTGCCGAGTTCAGTTGGATCAATTTCCCGCCATTCCTTCTGTGTTTTTCTAATCTATTATATGTAATCAATTTCTAATTACAGGCCATAGGGGATATAATTATATTGTGATTTGATGTTTAGATATTAGTTTACATGCCTGGTGCAGGTAGAGAGGTAAACTACAAGTGTGAAGCCAAACAATAACAATAAACCTTATCTTATTATATGAGATCAGCTATATGAATTATATTATTATATGCTATTACACTCTATCATTTATCAAGATTTTATGAATGTTGTCAATTAAAAAGTCTTAATCGACAACTTTTGTAAGCATTCTTTTTGGCCTTATTCTACTCCTCTTTGTAGGGTTCAAATTTATCTGTTCCAGTTTTTTCATCGATGCTTCTCACAGTCTTCTTTGTACATGTTTAAACCATTTCAAGCAATTTTCTATTATTTTTTCTCAATAAATTCTATGCCCACTTTTTCTCATAATGTTCATTTCTTTTTTTGAAAAATTTAATTAATAGCTTTTATTGAAATAAAGCTCTCAATCTTTTTTTCCCTGTTTGATAGATTTTTTCCTGTTTGATTTCGTATACGCAGATATATAACATTGTAGAGGATTTATTTCCATATAAGTTACATTAAAGAATTGACTGAACATGGAAGGATGATGTGCCATGAAAAGTTAAAATGGTTAAAAAAATTATGAAATAAATAAATAAAATGAATGTCTAAATAAAGAAATTAAAATCCTTTGTAAATCTTGATGAGGAGAGATAAGCAACTTTTACACATATTTTATAAGGAAATCATATCAATTTCACTCACTTTTTGAGAGAATAAATGTGAAAAAAAAGGAAGAGAAAGTTGATTCTCATATTCCCAAAAAACTTTAAAAAGTCAAATTAATTGCAGCAAAAGTGAATTGCATGGATCCAGATTCTCTTATTTTTTCGATAGGAAAAAATCATGCAAGTCAACCATGACTGATACATTATTCAGATTTCAAAATAATAAACAATCATATTTCATTCAAAATAATAATTATATTTTCCAACAATATACATTATTTAGATTTCAAAATAATAAACAATCATATTTCATTCAAAATAATAATATATTTTCCAACAACCTATAAGCACACATCCACACAGCTTTAATTTCCATATATTCGGGTCAAACAAAAAATGATCAAAGCAACAAACCTAAACAGGGGTGGTGAAAAAAGGACTGTTTTTTTACTCCCAAGTCCCAAGTCTTAGAACTGACTCTTCATAAGAATCTATTTGACCCATTAAATCAGATTGCAAGTTGCTCATCAACTTGCACAAAAAATTAAAAAAAAGATCTGAATCTGCATAAATTCGTCGGCTTATCTCCTCAAAAAGTTCTCATCTCATTCTGCGTTTCGTATTAATGGTTTTTATTTGTTGCGTCTTATCTTATTCTATTTAATTATGAAGCACCAAATCGTCATGCATGCCCACTAAAGCTTTGGACATTGTCCCACAAAAAGGCACACAAGAAACATATAAGCAGGAGAGGAACAAGCTCAACTTTGACTCGAAATTGATGTTCTAAACGCATTTCTAAACTCAATAAAAAGTTTATTAATCTCTTAACATTGCTGGTCGAGTAAAACCTCTTGGACCTGCTTGCTAGCTTCACGACAAAGTTCTTTTTGTTGTTTGGTTACCATTCACTGCTAACTTCCAAGAACACACATTAGAATATTTGTTTTCATTTAATGAACTTTGATGGCCATACCCGGAATGTGGGGCCTTGAAGAAATTGAAAATTTCTCATACAAATTAGAGTAAACTGGTCAAACTCTCTCTGCCCCATGAATGATCTTGTAATCTGGGATTGTTAATAATTCCTTGTTTGTTATGATCCCCATCTTATTTTGGAAAACGAGATTCTATTGGTGAGATATTTTTTGGTACGATGCCAAAGGGCAAAGAAATATAGATGGGGCTTAAAAAATTTGAAGCTTCCAAATTGGGTGATTTTCTTTTAAGAACTTTAATCATTAGATTAAGTAATACTCCCTCTATTTCTATTTGTAAGAGAAACTACTATTTTTATTTACTTTTTTATATAAATAAAATTATATATTTCAATAAATATTTATAACACATTTTTTAAATGATCCCTCATAATTTACATTATGAAAAATAATTAATGTTTTCTTATGTTAATTAACATAGGACATTTTAATTCAATTTCTTTATTTTTAAATATAATTATTATGGTTAATTAACTTTCTTAAACTGTATGATCTAGTTTTTTTCTCTTATATATAGAAATAGAGGGAGTAACAGAGATTAGAGAGTGACCCTTCAATCATTCTGTTCCAATAATCCCAAATGGAAATGTGAGTTGAGTTTCATGCTTTCATATAAAAAGCCAAAATTGGTTTATTTTTCAATTATATCGTTGCCAAATCCTACAGGTAATCTATATCACACAAACTTCCTCTTCGGTTATTATGAACAAGATTTTGATAATCAATAAAATAATATTTGGTCCAGCAGCATTTGTACCGTTTAAAATAATTTTTTATTAAAATAACAAAAAAAATTAAATCATTCAAATCATATGCGAACAATTCTCACGAAAACTAATATATTTATGTTTTAAAGAACGTAAAAAAGCATTCCACTTCATGGAAAAGCAACACAATTACACAATTTCATCTTAAACTGGAAAAGGTTGTGTATTCATAGAGGTTGATGTAGGCATTGTACTATTTATACTTATATGTGATGAATAATGTGATTTATCAGAATTTTTATATTGTATTAATATGTAGAGTTATGAAACTCATGAATCTTGTTCTAAATCTCATTTCTCACATGTGCCTTGCCAATTTATATATATATATATATATATATATATAGCAGCCTTTTAAGTGTCAAACAGGTACAGCTTAAGCGCCATATCCATTGCGATGCAGATTTCAATTTTGCAGCCATTAATTAGGTCAATAGAGAATCATCAACCAAGGAAGCTTGTGCCCTTCCCCCCCCCCCCCCAATTTATGTGGTTAAGATGATATCATCAATTGTTTTATCTCCACTACATATATAAATGTACAAGTAAGCGTGAATATTAAAAAAAATCTACAAGTACGTGTAATTTATGCTAAAAAAACCAGTGGCCACTGTGCAAGTTAAACAAATAAAAATGGCTCATTATGTGCACGTACTTCTTTTAAAACTTTCATTTCATAAACAATACTTTCTCCATTTTAAATATATAAAGTCTTATTTTTTACTCTCCTTTTTTTCTTAGCTTGATATAAACTATATAATAATCAACTAAAAGTGGCGGGAGTAATAGAAACTCTCATCATTAAAGCAAAAACTTGGAGTTGGAATCTCAACTATTTTATATATGGCAATTTACTCAAAACAAAATTTAATTACCTTTTGCTCTTAGTATTTTGGAAAAAGATATTTTCTATTATCAACGTAATATAGTTCTTATGCTTACAAAGTGAAGAAAATAAAAGCCCTAATATGTTTCTATTGAAGTTTGGTCCTTTTCTGAATTAGACGTCTTCATGTACAAAATCGAGTAACTGAGTGTCTCTATTGTGTAAAAATGAGAAAACCTAGGACAAGGGAGAGATATGTAATGTTTACTCCCTGGAAATCCCCAACAGCTTCAAACCCATAACATGCAATATAATTCTACCCTCTGTAAAACTAAAAGAAAACAACTTTACGGAAAGTGGCAATTGATAGAGGTCATCGGAGAAGAAAATATGCCTCCGAATTAAAGGAAAAGTCCCCATTGCCTTTTTCCTCTAATTACGAAGGGAATAAGAAAAGGTCATCTTTTGTTTTTAAATTGAATTATTTATATTTATACCTTAATATGTGATAAAAAAGATCATCCATAAAGATAATCTTTATCTCGTCACTGTACAATCATTTGTTTATTTCTATTTTTAATTTTCTTCCAACACATCATTTGCATTTACTTTCAAACCATTATTAGAGAATTCGAAATGTTTTTTTTTTACCATTTCCTCTGGGGTTAATTTGTAATTTAGACCATAAATTATATGTTTAAAGGTGATTTAAATTTTAAACTCATATTTGCACATTCTAAATATCAAACAATAAATTTTAAAATAATTTTGCCTTGTTGTTAAATTAAAACAAATGTTATTACTTTTAAAAAATTGGGCTTGATGTGCAATTTCTTTTAAGTTTCATTCCCATTTTTTTTCTACCTTCTTTTGAAAAAAATTGCACAACAGAATTTTGATTTAGCAAAGGGGCAAAATTGATCCAAGTTTAATTGTTTGAGGTTCATAATATATCAAATATCAAAATAAAGTTCAAATTACACTTAAACTTATAATTGAAAATTCAAATGGTACATTAATCCTTTCTTTGCAACATATTTAAGGAATTTTTTTAAGCAATGAGCATAAGAAAAGGAATTTCTGAAGAGTTTGATTGGATCAAGAATAAAATTATGATAATAACAAAATAAGAATTAAACCCACGACTATTTCCATTCCTCTTGATCATCCAATTATGATCTTGTGTGTCTCTGCCTCCTCCTCTGTTCCATCATCTGCTTCCCCTGTTTCTGTTAATAACTGAGCTCTCTGGGCCTCATAATCCCAATCCATTCGACTCAGAACCACCAACATGGTCACTGCACAAGCTCCCTGAGCCCCCAACAGCCCAAGCCATAAACCTTCAAAATCAAACCCAGTAAAGAAAGCCAGCCATATCGCCACTGGCATTCCTACCAGATAAAAGCTTCCCAAGTTTATGTTCGCTCCTACTTTTGGCCTCGCAGTGCCCCTCAGTACCCCACCCCTGTTGTTTGTGGGCAATTTCCCAGCTCACACAGTCCTATGATCGGCAAAACCATCGCCGTCAAGCTTATAATTTCTCTGTCGCTCGTGAACATGCTAGCCCAAACGTTCCTTACCATCAAAGAGAACAAAAGAGCCGAGAGCCCCAAGACAAAGCTGCAAGACAGGCCTACAATGGCAGAGAGCTTCGCCTTTGAGGGATTCTGAGCGCCGAGGTTGTTGCTGACTCTGGTGGATACACTGAAGCTTATGGAAGACGGGAAAATGTAGAGAAGAGAAGTTGTTTGGATCAAAATTCCCATGGAAGCAACGGTGGCTTTAGGATTCACGAGAAGTCCACAGAGCAAGATCATAATCTCGTACCACCACCATTCGAGGCAAACAGAGACGCAACTTGGAATCGCCAGCTCGATGAGCGACTTCCACTGTGTGAAACACTCGAAAGAGAAACCGCCCCAGGTTTTCTTGTGAGTTCCCGAGACAACTATGTACAAAATCAAAGAAGCTACGAGGTTGAAATTGGTCCAAACCGCACTCAAAGCCACGCCCTTTATTCCCAGACCAAGGTAAGAAACGAGGAAAAAATTGATGGGTATGTGAAGAAGAATGGCGAGAGCAGAACAGAGGGTGAGAGGCAAAGTAATGGATTGCGTTCGGAGGTAGATACGCAAGGGGTGCAAGAGAGACTGAGCTAAAAGATCAGGAATGGAATAAAGAAGATAGGACTGGGCTCGCGCGGCTATGGCTTCATCCTGGCCACACAAGAGCAGAATTTGCTTCATGTAGATCCAAAGCAGAGAGATGGGGATGGAGGTAAAGAGCAGGAGAAGAATGGTTCTCTGCAAGCAGAGGCCGAGGAGGATGAATTTCTTGGCACCGAAGGCCTGACCGCAGATAGGTTCCATGCCGACGGCGAGACCGGAGAGGATGGAGTAGCCGGTAATGTTGGCGAAGCCGAGGGCGAGGGAGCCGCCGGCCAGGCTGAGCTCGCCGAGGCGGCCGAGCAAGAGCATGGAGATCATGGAACGGCAGTAGAGGAGGAGACCGGTGAGGATGATGGGCAGAGCAATCTTGGAAATGGAAATGAGCTCTTTGAAAGGGTCAGAGAAAGTGTGAGGCGTGGGGGACTCCAAGAGTTTTGGGATGAATGGCTTCTTCATCGTCAGGTTTGGTGGTTAGGTTTCAAATGATGGAAGTGGGATCGGGATTTTATATGAAGAGAAGAAGACAAGTTGAAGTGAGGTGATGAGGCATTGCGTGTAGAGTGTTTGATAGAAAAGAGAAGGAGGGGTTTGAAGAAAGCGCTGTGAAGAGCTTTATGTAGAGACTCTGTCTGTGTATGAAGGGATGCAGGACTTGGGCTCCTCAGTTATGAAAATTGCAATACTGTGTGCTAACTGCTAACAGCCAAACGTGGATCGACGCACCTTTTCGGGACGCGCTTTTTTTTTATTTTTTATTTTTTTTGGTTTTTAACGCTAATAGAAGTTTTTTCCGACACTGCTTGTTTTTAAAAAATAATTTGTGTTTAGGAATTAGGATACACAAATAGCAGTGTTGTTTCTTAGGAGAAAGAAAAGATGAAAATAAAATTAGAAAAGAGTTTGAAGTCAATTTGTACATGTTTTTATTCTAACTCTCTGGATCGACGCACCTTTTCGGGACGCGCTTTTTTTTTTTATTTTTTATTTTTTTTAAGCTAATAGAAGTTTTTTCCGACACTGCTTGTTTTTAAAATAATTTGTGTTTAGGAATTAGGATACACAAACAGCAGTTGTTGTTTCTTAGGATGAAAATAAAATTAGAAAAGAGTTTGAAGTCAATTTGTACATGTTTTTATTCTCTCTCTGTCATTTTCTCCTTCTTTAATTTTTTTTAAGAATAATAATAAAATTTTAAAAATGAATAATTACAATTAGGTCTCACACAAAAAAAATTAATTATTACAAGATTTATTAACAATTGAATTAAACTACGTTGACAACTGATTGTGTTGTTAATAACTTTATAATAATTAATTTTTTATATAGGACTTTAATATAATTCTCCCTTTCAAAATTTCTTACACAGTAAGCGAAAATTGAATGCGAAAGATTATTTCTGCAATAAAATTTCTCTTAAAAGAGAATACTAAACTAGTTACTGCAAAGATATTGAATTTTAATTGACAATTTTTAACAGTAAAATTATTTATAAGAATCCTGAAAATGGTCCCAAAATAACAAAATTTCTTCAGTTATAAATATAAGAGCTAAATAATTAATTCACATAGACTAAAAAAATTAGTTAAGTTTGTTATTTGTCAAAAATGTATATTCATTTTTTTAAAAAAATACTTCTTCTTGAAATCATTTATATTGGAAACTATCCCAACTTTTGGACACACATGAATGTCGATAATAGGAGGTAATTTGAAAAAATAATAATAAATGGTGAGAAACAGGAAATCGGGGTTTTACATTCAGAACTAAACAATCTCTTAAAGTAGCTCTTATATTTAAGATCGGCGGGAGTAATTAGCTACAATCTTTTTTAAAAAAAAAATATTGCCTTCTATTACCTTCATCCCAAATTATAAAACATTTTTAAAAAAGATTCAACATTTTAAAATATAAGATATTTTGATAATATTAAGATTTTATTAAATAGGCTTATTGTAATGTTACCCTTTCTCTCTCTCTCTCTCTCTATTCAATACTAATACTACCTAAGTGTATATTTAAAGCTATTAAATGAAGGGTGTTTTGAAAGTTAATATTTTTTTTTGAAATAATAAGATTGTTAAGTGTATTTAAAAAGATTTATTGATATGTGAGATTTTTATTTAAAAGTGTCTTATAATTTAGGAAAAAAAAAGTAGTGTTTATAAGACTTTACCCATTTCAAATTACCTCTTACAAAATTTAATAAAACATTAATGACTCATTTTCAAAATTTCTCGTCTCTTTCGCTCTTCACTAAAACAACGACTTTAGCTTTTTATTAAAAAACAAAAACAATGACTTTAGGTTATTTTCATTTTTTTTCTTTTTTTGATAATCTAAGAGGTAACGACTATAGTATGTTTAAAGGTACGGAAATTTGAGAAGTTGTAAAAATCTTACATATAATTAAATAATTTTCTTAATATTAGAAAATATAGTTAATATGGGTTATATGGCAATGTAATAATAATGCGATAAGTGGAAACAATAAAAGAAAATTTGGCCCAAAAAAAAGAAAAAAGAAAAGAAAATAATTATGCATATAGAGAGAAGAAAAGAAAACAATAGAAGAAATGAAAGGATCATAGAGAGAAGCATGTGCGTGGGATATAAATGAGAAACCAAACCAAAAAGAAATAGAAGAGGGAAATAAAAGGGCATAGAAAATGTAGAAGATGATGTAGGAAGGGGCAAGAGGGAGGGTGAGATAAAGACAAGAGTGTCCTTAATACGGACAGTTATAAAACAAGGACCCATGTTGTGGAGATATATAGCCCTATAGCGGCCATCGATGTTGAGCCTTGATTTATGAGAGCAATAGAACATATGCCATGAGCTTGCTCTCAGGATTTTCATGGCAAAACAAGATGTCTGTTTCGTTGCCAGACATGTTTGGAACAACAGGAGTTAATGAGTTTTGGTTTAACGTAGTTGTTTAGGAGGCATCCTCAGATTCATATGTGTTCTGTTGTAGTGCACTCCCTCTTTGCTTTGTCTCCACCTACCTTCACATACACTCTCCCACATGCTTCTTCTTTGCTTATCTCTCTTTAACCACCTCAATTATATGTTTATGCTATTAAAACCATGTTTCGTATTAGAAACCACCAAAACTATAACCATGGCATTAGTAAAAGCAGATATGGTTTCTAACGTAAAACCAAGCAAATGCATGCTGATTAAGAATCCTTGACCTTTTACTTGAATACACGTCCTTTTATTTTTCATAGTTAAACAGAAAACACTCTATATATAACTATATTTTCATTAATTAATGTTATATCAATGCTTGAATACAGTACAATTTTGAGAATTGACTTATATAAATTCATTGTTATAAAATTAGGTCTATATATATATATATTGAAGACAATGTCAAGGCTTACACAGAACTTTTGAGTTCGAATATATATATATATATATATTGTTTCAAGCGAAACGGCATAATCTTTTATAGTTTAGGTAGCTATAAACGGTCAATAAATTGAACTGATTATAATAATTAAGGGTGGGTGCATGCTTGAATTATTCCTCACTAAAGGAATTAAAACGTGCGCTCAAGATTATTATTACGTAATGCTGATTCTAGTTGTTGGTAAAAATCAAAATATATGACACAGTTTTCTTTCTTTTCAAATATGATACTCGATTGGCATTTGCTCTACGAGCTTTCAGTTTGATAGGAATAGGTTTCACTAATTGGGGACGAGGGACAGTTCAGTTTCCAAATTGCTTACACCACTTTTGGATATATATGGCAATAAATTCTTTTCACCTGAAACAATTAATATATTAATTGTCAAATAAAGATTTTAGATTCAAACACAGTTTTTCTATGTACATCGCTGACGATTGTAACAATCTATCTATTGAGGGAAGGGAAGGGAATGGATATATCTTGTGAAAAATCACCTTCAAGAGAAAATTAGGAATTGGTTGAAACTGTTTTTTATTTTATTATTTCAAGAACTGATATTTTATAAAACATAATTTAAAAACAAAATAATAATAAAAATAAGTGTTTTTCACACTCTTCTTTATTCTTTAAAATAATAATTTTAAAACACTTAAAAGATATTTTTATTTTTCTTTAAAGCAAGTTTGATTTTTTTTATTCTTTAAAAGACTTGTTAAAAACAATTTTTTTTTAAGAACACAAAATTTATTTTTAAAATAGGTTGTCAAATATGCCCTTAAGCTCTCCGACATCCTCTATTAATTCACCTTTGACTTTGTACATTCTATAAGTGTGTACGTCAAGAAAATAACGCTTTGGTCGTTACTAAGTGCTGCGTCAACAATTTGAAACAAAAAAAAAAAAAAGTTTACCGGGGAAACATCATTAGAGACATTAATTAATTAATTTGACACGCATCAATCACGATTGATTCAACTATTACATAATGCTTTTGTCAGATCGAATCATGTATGCAGAATATATTTGACCGTTTGGTGCTTGGCTCATGGGCAAGATCACAAAGCAAAATTAAATATAACAAGTGCTTCTGTTAGGAAGTGCGCAAATAATTAACAAAAGTAAATAAAATAAAATAATTAAAAATTATAAAAATTTAGAGAAAATGATAAAAATGATACAAAAAATTTGACATGAGAAAACCCTTAATTTAAAGGACAAAAACTCATAAGCAATAAGAGAGTAATTTCACTATAAGAAATGAGAATTATAATAATTCTCTCTACTATGGGAGATAGAGAGACAAGATATATATAAAGCTTTTTATCAGTTAAAAATATTATCTTGAATAATAATAAATATCTCCTAAAATATCAAATAGAGATATGATAGGTTTACTCCAAGATAATATATAAAAATAATCATAAAGAATTATAAAGACTTGAGTTATAATCTCAACAAATTTTTCCTTAATTAACTCAAATTCAGTAATGTTCATAATTGCCAAGTAGCCTAAAGGGCATTCAAGTGCTATAAATACTGACTAAGCATAAGCAATGCTCGAACTTAATATCAAGATGAATCTTTATAAGCATGTCTGCTAGATTTTGAGATGTATGAATTTTTTTCCCAACAATTTCAACAATTGCAACAATATCTCTAATAAATTGATGTCTAATTTCTTTGAGTGATATCTATCATTCTTAGTTAAATGAACTACACTTTGATTATCACCAAAAACATTAGTAACTCCTTGGGCAACATCAAATTCAATAACATGATCTTGTAACCAAATAGCTTCCTTTACACCCTCAGTTGTTGCTATATACTCTGCTTTAGTTGAGGATAATGCATAAATAGATTGGAGAGATGCTCTCTAACTAATAGAAGAGCCATAAAGGGTGAAAATATAAGCAAAAAAAGACGTTCCTCCAATAAAATTATTATCATGATCAGAGTTAGTAAAACCGACAATATCATTAGATACAACTTTATTCCTATTAAATACCAGACCAACATTAGAAGTACCTTTTGGATCCATTTATTAGCATCCCAATGACCATCTTCAAGATTGTGAATGCATCTGCTTACCACACTTCCTGCAGATGTAAGATCAAGTCTAGTACATACTATAGCGTACATAAAA